AATAAACAAGCCATCATTTCATATGAACTGTTATACTTGATACAGATCCATGTTGCTACATAATTGCCACTGGATTGTGCAGCTTGATAGTGTTTGTAATGCTCCATTGAAAGCATCACATTAAATAATGATCTGATGAACTATCTGGCAGCAGTTTGAGCACAGTCCTATGTTCAAGTGCATGTGCAATTTGCAGAGGATGGGAATAGATTATATCTAATCTTTCTAGGATATAAGCCAGCAAGGCTATCCATTTTACAGAAATTTCTCTGGTGAGAGATTACTAGTCATAAAGCCTTAATGCCACATCACAGAAGATCACTTCTTTCCTCATAGCAATGAGTAAGAAAACTCCATGCACCCCATAAAGCACAGAAATGCACATATCTATTTTGCATAGATAAAGTGGAAACCTGAAATTGATTCTGATTTTTTATTGTGCCCACACACAGAGTAGAAAGACGCAAGTTATTGTCATGTATAATTATATACATTTAGTTTTCCAGTGTAGAAGTAGGAAAACAGTTTTCTGGGAAGTTGTCCTTAAGAAAAATTCGCACATCTCTCTCTCCCTCTCCCTCCCATGTGGTGCTTTTAAAGCTGGGCTCAGGGTATGATTCCCATGGTACACAGATCTGGGAACAGGTGTTGGTCTCCTCTGCTAGGAAGGCCAGCCTCTGAGATTTATTGGGTGTGTGGTAAGGAGCTCAGCAGGTGTAGGAAGCTTAATCAAGATGACGCGAGTTTCACAGTGCAGTTGCAAAAGTTGAAATGGGGGGGGGGGGAAGCAGATGTATGGACTGACCAACATTCTTCAATATAATGGCCAGAAAAATGAAGCATTATACAGTCTGCTCTTCCCAAGTTACTCTAGTAAAACTTTTATAGATAACTGCTACCAGTGAGACTGAGTTTCCTTTGCACAAAACACTCTAAATATTATATTGAACATACAGTATGTTTATATTTTTGTTCATAGGAAAAAGAAACATATAGGTCCTGTTAAGCATAACAAAAGAAAACAAAAACAAAATCCACAAATCCAGAGTGGGCAGAATGGATATCTTTTGATCTCTGCATATAGCAGCTTTTTGGATATGACTAGTCAATACAAAAACTAAATATTTAAATCATTCATTCTTTGAAGATTGACTTTAATGTAGTAAAATATATTCCTTTTTTAAAAAAAATACACAATATACTACATAGGAATCATGTATTTACATTTCTGGGTTACCCACAGGTGGATTGATTTTAGCCTGATGAAAATAAGGAAACTGAGGAATCTTTTTAAATATTAAGGTTCAAGGTGTACAGTGTGGTAGAATATTTGTAATAATAATATTCATTTACATATATAGAACTGCAAGTTTTAAAAGGTGCGTTTCATATAATACCTCAGGAAATATCCCAATTCAGAATTATTCTTATAGGTCAGAATTGTATTGAAAACACTGAGGCCTCTGAGTTTGTGGATGAACTGAGATTTAAATTACATACTCATTTATTCACATTCTTATCTACTACACTAGGCATGTGTTTATGTGTTGATAATTACAGCAAGTACCTGTTTAAGTACAGCAACAAAGAATCCCCAAAACAAACTTGGACATTCCTGACTTGAGTTCCAACAACAGGAAAAGGCTATCATCTAACTTCTTATATGCTTTACATATTCATTAGTAAAGCATTTTTAAACATTCAACAAAGTATATAGCGATTGTAGAGGGCCCTTGGGTCAATATAGCAGAATATAAGTTTAATAAATAAATATATAAAACACCTTAGAAAGAACAACAGCAACAGGAACAATTAATAAATAGCTATATCAATTATACAGATTTTAATTGGCAGGACAGAAGCAAGTCATGCTCTTATAGACTCTTGCTGACTGAAATACAAAACTTAATATCAGTCGTAATATGTCAAGATGCTGACAGAGGCAAATGCTGTTAAATTATATTGTTTGTTTTCTGTTTATCTATTTTGCATAATGTTTCACCAATTCCTTAAATAACTTCTTGTCTCAGATCTCCAGAATCTGAAATGATTCAGCTTGGTCCAATGAAGCACCTAGAGTTTTAGCTATGGAGGATCACAAAAAAGCTAATAAATAAAAACAACACTGCTACAAAGAGACAGTACATCTCAAAATCCTACAATGGAAAAGACAGAAAAAGAGTTAACTCAAAATTCATGTAAAGTTTTCACAATTTTTAGAACACACAATGATCAAGATGTTCCTAAGTGAGTAGGTATAGGATCACAGCATAAATGAAAGAACTGCCTGGAAACAGAGCTAGTCCTACAGAACCCAATGGAGCTTATTTCTGAGTACACATGTATAGGATTGCTTTGTCAATGTGCCCTGTGCTTTTACCACAGACATAACTAATACGTCTTGGACTGAAGATGTCATCATAGCCACAGGGTTTAACTTCAGTTATCATTTTATGATATACAATAAATAACTGAGAATAAATACGAAGTGTACTAAATACAATGGTCATCAACATAAGAACAGTTAGCATTCACTGCAAATGTACTACAGGATAAACACAAACTTTCAGGGTCTCTCAAGGGGAGTAAAAAACATTTATAGGTGAATAATGATCAACATAGAGTATGCGCGTACTTTAAAGCAAACTAAGTGGAATGAAGCAAAAAGGAAAAAAAGGAGGAACACTAAAAGCTAGAAAAGTTTTAGAATTTTAGCTTTAGTTGCCCATGATAAAAGTTTCCAACACAAATAAACTCAGTTCAAACAGTGACTAAGGACCACTAATCCCCTTATCTCTTCAATAATGTCTTCCTCCATGTGTCACACTTGACACTTTACATATGAGAGTAAATTTTGATGGAGGAAGGCAAATACAAAACCATCACAAAGGAACCTTTTTGGATTTGGACTATAAACTGAACTGGAACAAGTTGGTTACTAAGGGAAGAGTCTGTTTTCTCCCAGTGGCTGTGATTTGCATCCAACTTTGTGGTGAAGAACACTCCATGAAATAATGGAAACTCCTTGAGCTGGTGACATTACTCAGGATTTAAAGGAAAAACAGGCAGAGGGTTTCAGGTTTAACTTAGTCACCTGTCCTGCTCCCACAGAGAAAGCCGGCTGCCCATCTGCAAAGTAACCCCTGTGTCGTGGGTTACTTCCCATTCAGCACATGGGAAGTAGCTCATTTTCCACTCCAGACTGTTCTCATGTCACCTCTGATCAAGGGAATAGGTTTCATGGGATTGTAACAATTTTTTGCGGTCAGACTGAACGATTTAACACATGTGCCAGGCTGCCAGACCTAGCCAGAAAATCTAGTTATTTTGTGGGGAATGGTAAGTGTATAACTGTTTACAGAGATACCAACTGTTTAGCTCCACTAAACTGAATATTCAGATGCTGGGCCATTTGATATTCTTTATATTATTTCAAAGTAATTATAGTCCAAGTCTAAATCCACTTTGTCTGAAGGTTGCCAGCTGATGGTGGGTTGGAGCACAGGCTCCAACTTGCTAAAGGAAGTTAAGGAAAGAAGAACCCCTCTGAATGGATGAAGCAGGAATCATGAAACAATATTTTAAACCAGAAACATATTTGCCTAAGGCTGCAAGTCCATGCATACTGAGCATGGTAAGCTCACTTGCTTCCAAATAAACATGCATAATAAACTTGAGAAGCTTATAGCTTTAAGCTGAACTTCAGGATATAAGGACAAAAAACTTAAGAGCAAATAATTCCAGCGTGATCCTAAACATTGCTAACTTGGAAATTCCACATATCAGTGTGAGCGCTCAAAGCAAATCAAGATGGGAGTAAACTATTCACTTAACTGGAGGCAATAATAATTCAACCAAAACTTGTTCCAGTATAAATAAGCGGAGCTCTGGAGCAGTATACCCCCATAAAGGTAGAAATGGGGGGGGGGGGAGAGAGAATGTGTGTGTGTGTGTGTGTGTATAATAATCCAGTGCTTCACACAAGCAAATCACTAGACACATACTGAGTAAACTATGTCTCTAAGTCAACCTATCCTGTGACCTCATTCCTGTCTCCCTACCTAAATTCTTCCTAACTGGATGGTGATCACACATCCTAAGGTAGAAAGGAGTTGTTTCCTCCAGTTCCTTTATGATCTGTTTTAATTATGGCTCTTTGATACATCAAACAAGCACTAATAGCCCCCTTGTTGCCAACTAGGGTGGCTGGTGTAAGCAGGAAAGACAGGATTGAGTGGGGAGGTGGGTTAGTGGGAGAATAGCTCACTAGAATATAGCATATAGGATTTTTACTGACCTCATCTATTCACATGCAGGATGATGGGTAAAACACTATTTACTAGGTAGCTAGTTGGACTGCACATGCAGAAGATAGCTCAGCAGGGCTACACAACTTGGAAATGTCACTCTTAAGTACTTATTGTTAAACCTTAGGGGTGTTAAGCTTCCAGCTGCATTATTCTAGTAACTCGAGTAGCTTTCCCATTGCAGAAGCATCTGCAGACTTGTCTTCTGGTACCAACAGCCTTGCACTTCTTTCTCAATGCTGTGGGTACAAGTCAGAGCTCAGCTGCTCCCGCTCGCTTTCTCTCCATAAGCTCAAGGTTAGGTGAACAGAAAAAAACAAGAACTCAAGTTTCATGGACACATTGAGAGAGATCTGAAGAGGCAGAATGGGAGTGTGTGGTGGGGGAGACAGAAGAGTGCAGGAAGCCAAGATTATTGGGGGAAATTCTCGAGCATCTTGTCTAGCCGTCTCTCACTGCTGGGCAAACTTACGACAGGATCCAGTTAAAGTGAAGCACTTTTGTGAATCGTCCATTGTTCTCAATGGAAGAGTTAACACACATGGGTAATTCTCTTCTCAAACCAATAGGAAAGAAAGCACTTTACTTTGCCTAGATCCTGCATGAAATTTCATACAAAGGCCGGCCATCTGCCCTTTTTACAATACAATACAATACAAAAAAAAAAAAAGTTAGCTGGAGAGTAGTGATTACCTGTAGACAGACATATTAATCCAAAGAGATAGAAGTGAACAAACTCTGCGATCATTGTCTCCAGGTGGAGCTTGTCGATCGTCTCATGCCAAAAGGGAGGGCTGGCGGAACAGGGGGAGGGGGAAGACTTTTTCCAAAAAGCCTCCAACGCTTCCCAATTTGTAAATCCACAAGCAGCTTAATATAAGCGGTGGGCGTCCTAAATCCTCCAGAAGTTGAACGAGGAGAGTCGTCTTGGTTCTGCGCAGAGAGTCTATTGTCAGAAGAGCTGAGGGGTCTCAGAAGACCAAAGCTTTGCGTTCCTCTTGCCCGGGGTTATCCCAAAGGGGGCTCCCCGGCCGCGCTGCGGGACCATCCGACAGCAAGCGCAAAACAAAAGCTCCCCGCTTGCCTGCTCTTGCTTGGCTATCCTTAAGAGGGAGCGAAAGAAAGAACCATGCAGGTTGTGAGCGGCCCTTTCTCTGAAGTGAAGAAAGTGCTGCTGCTGCTGCTGCCGCCGCTGCTCCTTGAGAAAGGCACTTAGGCAGTGGGTTGCGGAGACGGGCCGGCGGCGGCGGCTCTTGGCGAGGGCTTGCCTGCTGTGGCGTTGGGTAAGCGCACGGCAGAAAGAAGTGGCTGTGCAGTAGCAGGCTCAGCAGCAGCAGCAGCAGTCCGGGGTCCCATCACTTGAAGCCAAGCAGATTTACAGCAGCGACAACGGGCCAGCTCCTCGCACCCGCCAACATCTCCTGTCGTGCCGCGCGCACTTCCCCCGGCTCCTTCCCTCTCCAAACCCGAGGATGGACACAAAAGCACTGTGTGAGTGCCTGCAAAACTTCCAAGGGCCGCTGCTGCTGCTGCTGCTTCCTCTTCTCATCAGCCCCTGGTGGAGGAAAAGTGTAGTTCCACACTGCCACTTAGAGGACTGAAAACCCTTCTCTCCTTGGGGCTTTCAACAGCCCCTGAAGTTTCTGGCGTCACGTTGAGGAAGGCGATAGAGCGCGCTGTTTTTCGCGTTGCTGCTGCAAGTCTGATGCCGCCTCGGGCCACTTTAAAGGAGCCGCACCTCCCGAACTGCTCAGAAAAAAAAAAGAGTCCTGCTTCGACAGATGTGTACTTCTTTCTTGTCTATTTTTCAATTTTATTTATATGCCACTCCATCGCCAAGGCAATCGGTTCACAACTACGCCTTGTAACTGGACAACAAAGAGCTTACGTCTTGGGGTATCAAACCGCACCAAGCAAACCGCACCATTCTTTCACTTCCCCAATTCTTCAAATGGTATTTGCCAGCATAGGACTTTGAAAAACCTCTCAGTTAACGATTGTAATCCTTTTTCTGTCGTAAAGCTAAAATCAGAATCTGCTTGATAATGAACATCAACTGAGAAAATAAAACTGACAGAGGAGGAAAGGCAAACTACCATGGAAGATTTTTGGTGGCCTGAACATTAATAGTGATGACATGCAGAAGTCTTTCTAATGCAATCAGAAACAAGCAGGATTTGGGTTGCATGCTTCCAGATAAAGCCTTCATTGTGGAAACACCCTGTTTGTCATGGAAATGATCCAGATGATGTCAGGTGCTTCCAGATGAAGCAGGCTTTGATTCTCTTTCATGGAATTTTACTCAGGGAGTCCAAGTGACAATGGCCTTGGTCACACAACACAGCAACCCACCATGGCTCAAGTGACCTTGTTGAGGCTGTTGCATGATTTGCTGTATCATGTGAACCCAGGTCAATGTCTTCTACCCATAAAACTGCTATTTTTTTCCACCATTTATTCTTTCTTTCAAGGAAGGAAGTAGCTGGAACAGCTGCACAAAGCCTTCTGAATGCTGGTGTTAGGACTTTGCCACCTGAAAGTACCAATCATTGTCTTTTCATAGTTTTCCATTTCTCATTTTTCTTTCCACCAAAAAAAAAAAATAAAAAATAAAAATGGAAGGGTTGTGCAATGTCTTTCAATTGGTCTTACATAAAATAATGAATTTCTGTGCTTCTTGCACTTGAGTCAGTGGAATTTTTTTAAAAAACTGTTTTATTATTTTAAAATTTATAACACACTATAACCTGCACAGCTGGAAAAGCCTTCCAAGTGCCTGTCAGCTGTTTAGAATTAGAAGGTTCAGAGAAAGTGGGTGGTGGGGGGGGGTTGGGATCTTCTGCCTTTGTAGGTCTTGTTTTTTAATTGTCATGGCCATTTTCCCCCCATCATCATTCCATGTTATCTGCATTTGGGGAATCGCTTTGGCTGCTTCCATTTAAAAAATGGCTGCCTCATTTGTCAGTGATAAATAGAGGCACTGGCATGTGCTTCTAGTGCTTTGAAAGGAATTCTGTTTCAGACAGTAGACAAGAAGACAGTAGACAAGAAGAACAAGGGGTGGCAGGCAAGTCAACTGTTATAAGTGTGTGGAAATTTTGAAGCCTGAGGGATTCGCATGTCCCATGATCAGTGATGATGTTGTGGCAGGCCACTGATTGTAGTTGCTTGCAAACAGGTGTGTATCAGCAAAAAGGAGTCCTCTTCTACCAATACAGTAAAAGGTTCATATGCTTCATAAAACAATATAGGAGCAGAACATTATGGTCCTAGTCACTACATCCACTCTGTCCGGATTAGGCCCTGCAAAACTAAGGAACAGTGTGGGTGGATGGAGAATACAATGTAAGCAAGGACATTGTGACATTTTACTACATCATTACTGATCATGTAGAATGTCTGTTAAGGCATAAACCTTAGGGAATTATTCTACGGCCCTTAGACATTGTCAGTGGGACCATAGGATAATTCAGGTTCCAAGGTTGGAGCTCCAAACAGAGTTGAGATCAGAGATTTGATACCCTGTTCCTACTCCTCAAAGCTGTTATGGGGAAAAACATGCTGGTTGATTTGAGGGTAGAGAAGCTATCTGAAGCTGCTTCCATCTCCTTTCTGCCCTTTTAAGACAACATCACCAGATGGCCAAAAGGCACAGCAAGAAAGCAGGAAGGCAAAGATCACCTCTGCTACTCCTTCCACTCTGTATTGGAGTGTGAACCTCTGAATTCAGAAAGGTATACACATCTTGATAGGATTATACCCTTAGTTTCCAATTCCTGGCTTTGTGGAGCTTAAGCCAGCATGAAATAGCTTTAACTCTGGTCTTAAATGAAGGGCGGGGGGTGGGGATTGCACAGAAAGAGAGATAGGTGTTAAGCAGTAGGTGAAAACTATGGCAAACGTGAGAACAAGTTTTCATGACCACAAATCTGCAATTCTTACTTTTAAAATAAGGAGAGCAGCTTGTTACAAGACATTTTAACGTACCCGCCCATGGTTTCCTAAACTTACTTTAGTTTCCAATTGAACTAAGCCAGAATTCTGACATGCTTGAAAGAAAGGAAAACTTCTGTATCTACAGATTCAAAACATAATTCATATGGTCTTAACTTGGAGTACAATTCATTTTTTCTTCATAAGAATTTGCAATAACTAGAGACTGAGACACTGTGAGGATTCCTTGTATCTTGAAGAAGTCTTGCTCCCCCACTTGGAACAACCTTCAGGCACCAATTCTAATGTCAGCCTTCTGACTTCAGAGCCACAACAAGTGCAAACGTGGAGGAAGATCATTCCAATTTTGAAGTACCAGTTCTGACATTTGGACATTTTTCTGAAGTTGGAGCTGGAGTTCTGAATTTCCCTATGGTCTTCTAGACAGCATCTAGCAGCCGTAGGATTGTGCCCTCAAACTGCCAGTCAAAACTGGCAGTCTTTGGTACCCCTTTAACATTACAGCTACTGATAAAGTCAGAAGTTAAAATGTTTCATAGTGATCATTTTTTGAAAGGTTAGTCTTTCATATATGTATAGACATGATTTAGTCTAGGTCCCATGGAAATCAGATTGGATTTTATTTTATTTTTGAAAACACGAATGTGATTTCTACCAATTGGTACCAGTTATGTTACAAATGATGTCATTAGTAAACTCCTCACAAGGGTTTGTGGGCTTGCCACCCCCTAAATGACTACCCATAGGACTTCTTAAGGACAGTCCTAGAAAAATTCTGAAACTTTTGCAAAATGTCAGATAGTACAAAGTTTTGTACTTCATGAGGTAAACATTTTAGATGGGTTCTTAGGACTATGTACCTAAGCTTTGGATATTTATAATTTATTTCTTAAGTCATGATAGAAGCAGCCAGAAACAAGACAATTCTCACAAATAGAAAGTTTTCTCTTTTAATGTCATAACCAGTCATTTCTGCACTTAGAACAGGATGGAAGGAAGCTGCAGAGGAGTGAAAGTTCTGCAGCTGCTGTGCCAGTTTTACAATGCCCAAGTATGAACTTGAAATGAGTGAGGAGTAAAATATGGAGGAAATTGTGGCTGGTTGTGTACCTTCCTATGGTAATACTGCTTAAATCTCATTCTGTTCTTGAGAATGCTAACCTGTTCAAGGTGCTTGAGAAACTCAGAAATTTTCCAGAGTCACTTGCAGTTAAAATACATGGGAAAAAGAGAAAACTTTCTCCATTTCTGCCACAGCCAGGTTAATGAGTGGATTGTGGAGAAAAATTAGGAGGTATTTTTCTTTGTGTGATGTTTTTGGATGCTTCCATACACGGCTTTTATGGTACAATCTTCCTCCCTCCTTCATGGGATTTTATGGGATCCTGACATTATCTTCCAAATATAAGGCTTCTGTGTTTTCTTGTCACTTATCCTTTTTATTTCCACATAAAATCTGCTAAGATTTTGCAGAATAGTTGTGCAAGGCCATCTGTGCCTCCGGGGATGAACAGTGATGGATCCAGGAGCTTAGAACAAATCCTGAATTCTAAGAAATCCTTGGCTGGAGTCGGCACAAGTCCTTCTCCACTTGCATTCCAATCATCAACTTACTTGCTTCATGGCCCCCAGCTTCAGGACATATCAAGGAGCTACTTAGTCTCCGATAAGGGGAAGAAGGTGCTTGGCTACAATTGTGTTACCTCCATACCGCACAGATTGATCAGGGCTTCAACGGGAGCATCAGTCAAACTAGCTAAAAATTGCCCTTAGTACCCTCTGGAAGCCATTGGGATCCATTAGCCTTTGGGGTTTTATTCTGACCCCTTCCACCCCAAAAAGAACTTGCAGGTGGTGGAAGCCAAAACCTCAGCAGATAGTGGTCCAACGATTTATAGATATTAAATCCTCCAATTTCAGGTCTCTTCCTTCTTGTTCAGCCAAGGAAACCAAATACAAAGCATGACTTTGAGCTTCATTTTAAGCTGACTATATTTAAATATATATACCTACTGTCATTTGGATCTAAACTAAAGCCAACATCTTTTGAACTATTACCCAGGAATAAGCTCCTTTGAAGTTAACGAGTCTTACCTCAAAGCAAATGTACATAGGACTGCACCCTTAGTAATACAATCATAGGAATTATTGAAAAAACTCTAAAAAGTTAATTCCACTGTAACCTAAGTAACATCCTATTGATTTCAATGGTAA